TATTAGAATTTTGTTGGTCCACAGCAAGAAATAGGTTTATGTCACTAATGCTACTGATTTGTCTTGTAAAACAGAGAGTTCTCAAAGATGCCATTTTCTAACATGCCGTCCATGTCAGCCTTGTGACTCTATTTGCCTTATCAGCTGAACTAAGCTATGCCAACCTTAGCACAGAGAGCCAGTAGAGTGACAGAAATAAAACTGGGGCCATATTCACAAAGCTTCCTAGTGCTAAGAGTTGCTCCTAGTGATGAAAGTCTAAGAAAATTCTTAGAATTGTGATGTTTTCCCCTTAAAGTTAAGAATAGGTACTTGTAAAGATAAAAGCTATTCACAGAGTGCTTAGCCCTTAAAAGAGCTCCTAAGGTGAAAAACTGTTGGGAGTAGAGAGGTGTAGAGAGTTTCTTAATCAGAGGAGAAAATGGTGGAAACACAAAGAGGTCAGAGAAATACTCTCTGAAGACAAAAACACAGTGAATAGATGAAATGCCACAGATTAGATTGTGCAGGCATAATATTTGTGGTCGATCTCATTAGGGATACACACACATTTTCCACCTAACAAAATAACACTATAACACCAGAAATAAAATGATCACAATACCAAAATATTTTGAAAACTGTAAAACTGTAACAGTGCAGCAGTGATGACTTGTGTCTGTCTCAACCTTCCATCAGCATGGTGATCAAACCAACAATGACAGCACTGTCAATCTCAAATTGTGATGCAGTTTATGTCATTGCCACTGGGTGTCCACACCTTGCAGGCTCACAAAAGTGCGTGTCCCAGACAACCAATCACATCTGTTAAAATAATGCATCACACCTAGCAACAGGGTCAACCACAACTTCTCACTAAGATAAAAGTTTCTGTCCCTTCCTTGCTCACAGTTGCTCTGAGAACTTTGCTATATCACTCTTAAGCTAGGACTCCTTACTAAAAGATTTTAGGCTATTTTAGAAGCTCTCTGAAAGTGTTCTCAGAATGTTTGTGAATATGGCCCCAGGAATAGGGAGACTGGGGTAAATTGAGCCAAAGGGTAAGTTGAGCCACCCCTTGTTGCTAGGAAACCGTCAATAAAATTGAGCATGTGACCAAATATTTAGGAGGAAGGCATCATTTTATGGAATCTGTGAAGGTAAGAACCACATGGGTTGAGTGGTTAGAGATTTATGAGATTTAAAGCATTTTTCACTGATGAAAGTGAATTTAGTCTATCATAAGTTTCATGGGGATTGTGTTTAGACCAAAATAGATCATTTTTAATTTGTTTTATACATCAATTGTGGTATTTATTAACTTCAAAATGAGGTAGTACAGCTAGCATGAAAGTGCACCATTTTAGCTGTGAGGGCTAATAAAGTCAGTATGGTAGCTATGGGGTAAGTTGAGCAATTTGAACAGGGGTAAGTTGAGCCGTAAGTTTCTGAGAAGAGGCAAAGCTGGACATGGTAAACCAAGCTTTACTTTCAAGGAGAAAGATGAGGGATTCTTCCCAAGAAGCGATGTAATTGCAAAACTCCCCAAACCTCAGAGTCCCAGCAGTTTGTATTCCCCTGCAACCTGGACAGGTGGGATATTGAGTAAAGGGGCAGGTGGGATATGGATGGAAGGAGGGAAGGAGGTGGATGGAACAAGAGTAAGATGGAGGGAGGAGTTTAGAGAGGACGAAGGAGGACATATAGAGGAAGGATGATGAGAGAATGAGAGTTTCGGTTCAGAATGCTCAAATGTGTTAATAAACAAGTTCAAATTATTATAATACCTTCAATTCCACAATTGGCCCTCCTGTTAGCAAGGACACCAAACTAGGATTCACGTCTACGGATTTAGTTCAGTGTTTTCTTTCCTGAAACACAGCTGTTAAGGTTCTCTTGCTAAGTGTACTTTAAGGCATTCTCAGGCCTATGTTAAAATGTTTTGAAGTTGTTATATGACATGACATGACCTGGCTCAAAGCCATGACAAAAACGAGGAGACGTATGGTTTTTAAAGTAAAAACGAAATGATTTTATTACAAACAATATAAAATTAGGTAATTGGCAACATAATCAAATACTAACTGAACTAACAAATAAACTAACTAAACCACAACATAATGCGCAAAGGAATCGCGGGCGCAGTGATGCAGCCGCGCCAGGTAGGTCACGGAGCAGAGCAGAGAAGACCAAATGTGAGGAGTAGTGCCAGCTCTTATACACCTGTGGACTGGCCAGGTCCAGCCAGGTGTGGCAAGCCCCACCTACGACCTGCAGGGAAAGACAAGACAACACAAGAGAGGGAACACAGAACACAACAGCAGGCCCTAGAGGCAGGAGGCCGTCACACAATGATAATTTAAAAAAAGATTTGTACCTGTTGAATTGTGTATTATAAATACAAATACACATGGATTTGAAGAAGTGTCTTATTTAATTCAGTACAGACATGTATAACTGTGGAATATCTTAACCCAGGGAGGGAGAGAGAGAGGGGGAGGAGAGAAGGTGAGGTGGGGGGAAGGGAGGTAGGAGGGAGGGCGGGGGGAGGGAAGGAGGGAGATGGCTCAACTTACCCAACTCCTATGCTCAACTTACCCCAGACACGGGGTAGACACAGTGTATCTCCTCCACCTCTTGTAGCAACCCTGTACCTACAGCTTTTTATAAGCAGGTGTTCAACAGTGTTTCAAGTCAAGATCTGAGGATTATAAATACATATCTTCAAACAGCTGTTGTAAAACCCATACTAAAGAAACACAACCTTGATGGGAATGCACTGATAGCCAACCTCAGATTCATTAGTAAGATACTTAGAAAAAATAGTTTCAGTGCAAACAAAGTCCTCTCTCAAAGAGAATAGTATCCTGGAGGAATCAGTGACCTCAAACTAAATTCTGATGAAAATAAGGTCTCAGTTCTTGTCCTCTTGGACCTAAGCACAGCATTTGATACAACTGACCATCTCTCTGACTGCGTGTTAAACTGATTCAAAACCTACATTAAAGGGAGGAAGTTTTACATCAGTCTTAGAGATCACGTGTCTGAGAAACATAACCTCTGTTTTGGGGTTGCATAAGCGAGCTGCCTTGGTCCGTTATGTTTTCACTGTACATACTCTGCTGCTCCAAAAGTGTGGTGTTCTGAATAACCAAAAGGTACATTCAAACAGTGCCCCGAATTTACGAATGGTCCAGCTTGGAGTGAGTATTTCTGAATTTACCCAGTGTTTGCAACAAAGGGCTGCAGTGGTGATGTTTTTTTTTTTGTTTGTTTGTTTTTTTGTAGTCCGACGTAGAAGTAGGTGTCGCCCTGGTTCCCTCGTCAAAAAATCAGTGGGATTTTTCTATAGATTTTGGATTCTTGAAGAAAATAATCTCTGTGGCAAAGAAAAGTTAATGATACTCACTTCAGCAAGATAATCTTCACAAATGAAAAATGAATACCACTTTTATGATTTGTGAAGTGTAAATGCAATCGCCAGAGATAAAAAGCTAATGCGAGCAAACCACACTATGGTCACATGACTAATGCCTGGCTCACACTACACGGCATTTTTGTCCGTTCCAGCAGTCACTATGTCAGACTACGCAATTGTGGAGTCTTAAAATCGTGCTGTGTCTTGGCTGACAGACATGACCTTAAAGGGGGGGCCTCAGGGTGTTAATAACAGGCCTTATTTCATGTAACCAAAGACCCCTTTGACTTCAAGTCGAGGGAACCAAAATAGCAGAAATGCTAACTGAGTTCCAGGTTTACGGACTCATTCCTGCACTACTCAGTGGCAATGGTACACATTAAAATGGGCACCACTCTGACCATCTCTCTACGTTTCTTTGAAAAAGAATTTCAATTGTCTCATTCTGTTTCTATGGATTAAACACTCACCTCTGCATTGCACCTTAAAATTTTTAAGCACTGACACTGCAAAGTACGTGAGGTGCTGCCGTCTGAATACGTTTGTCTGCTCTCATGTTGATTTCTGGCACACCACCAGTTAAGTCATATAAAGGCTCTGCCTGAAAATAATTATGCTAAATAAGCTAAAGCCAGCACTAATTTTTGAAATGTTCAGTCACTTTATGTAAGATTATTATAGGATAAGACTATATTTCACAATATTTTTTTTGTGGTTTTTGTTGATTGAAAATTTAAACAATTGCTGTAAACTGCAGCCTTCCTTGATGCTACCACCAGATGGCACCAACAAATCTTACACACTGGCTTTGACTGGTAAATAACACAGAACGTTTCTAAAAATTAAAGTGTTATTTGGAAAAATATCACTTATATGTGTTTGTGGCAGACATGCAGGTAAACTAGATTCACTTTTGCGTGAAAAAGGTCAAATAAAGTTTAAGGGATTTTGTCTGGTTGTTTCCACTGTGACATAACAGAGTTTGAAACGCTGAAGGGAAGTGTTTCCTAATAGAATGATTGCCAATGTTAACGGTCTTTGTATTGCAGTGAATAGATAATTCCTTTGATTATGAAGGTACACTGACAAAGAAACAGACATTTTCTTGCACTTTTGTGTTCATACAGTACCCTGAACAGAATGAGCTGAAAACATGAACATGACCGTAACGATATTCTTTATTTTACACAGTTTTTTTTAATGAATTCATCTTTGTTTAAGCTCCTGTGTGCAAACTAAACTAAAAGATTTAACCACTACGTACTTTTCACTTGTAAACCACCAGCCTGTTGTGTTATCTGTAGACTGTCCTCAGAGTTTTAACGTGTGAAGACTGTTTAGTTATCAGTGTGCTATATTTGCCACATTGCTGGATTTCCTCATCTTTATTCCACCTCTGAAGAGGGGTGTGCTGTCTTTAAAAAAGATAATATATATTTTGGCAGGTCCAAGTACATAAAAAACAAGTTATTCGACAGACTGTTCCAGCTCGATATCAGACACTAAATATTTTCTACACTGTATTTGTGTCTGCTGATCTGCTCCATCAATCTTCACTCATGTTTCTAACTGGGTTTTCCACACAACTTAAAGAATTAAAAAATTCAGTGGTCAATCATATTGTGTTTTTATTGAACAAACAATGATCTGCAGTCATTTACAGATTTTACATTTTGAAATTTTGTTTATTCTTCCAGAGTTACACACTGGGTAAGACAGAAGACAATATTCTTCAGCTGTAGCTGCTCCAGAGCCTCAGAGAAAGAGTGTGATGATGCCTGAGGATGCCAGTAAAAGGAGGACACTGGAACCAGTGGGTATGTTGCTGGAACCAGTGGGTTTGGAGGTGGGACCAACTGGGCTGCCATTACACAGGTCCCCCTCACAGCACTTAATGGGACTAACACAATTACTTTTGATCATGCAGCTCTTGACAACTTCACCTGCAATACATGATGGAAAAAACTCAGTTTCAACAACAATGAAAGCAACCAATCATTTAGTACAGCAATATATCCGCTCATATAGATAGACAGTCACTCTGAAATACTTAATATTAACTGCGGAAGAACAACTCACCGTTCACTTCAGCGGTGGCACAACGGTCGAAGTTGGGAGAACAGTCTATTGGGAAGTTGCAGGATTTGCCTGAACATGAGTGGCATCTCAATCCGAACGCTATACAAAAACAGGATAGTGTCACAACGGGTTTAAGATCCTTCAAATCTAACGCTCATTGTTTTATACATTTTCATAGAGAGAAGGTGAAGAGAAACTTGAAAGAAAATGCAAACAAGTTAACAAATATGAATCTTAAGTTTCTCTAAACAGTATAGGTATTTTGAAAATCAAATCGTCTGCAAATGGTGCTTTAAATTTTGACCTAAAAAAAATCATAATGTCATTATTATATTATAAGCCAATAGGCTACACGTGAATCATAATCGTTACCTGCAGACAGAGTCACAAAGAGGATCAGAGCTCCAAACCACTGCATCGTGAACGAGGAGAAAATCAGAATTTTAATCAGCCGTGTGAGAGGAGAACTGGAGAGAAGATGTGAACTGTTCCTTTTATAGTCCGACCCCTCAGTCCTCTTTCAAAACCTGACAGTTACATTTCTTCACAAAGCCTCCTCCCAAAGTGAGCACATTATCTCCAAGAAACAGCCATGCACAGTTGTATGAATAAATACAAGACCGGAAAGTGACATCAAAATCATCTCCAGTAACAGATTACATTTGTTTTGGGTGAAACATCAGAGCGTAAATGTTGCGATTGTTCATTTCAAAGTATTTCATTGATCTCTACAGCAGTAGTAGTAACAGTAGTAGCAGTAGTAATAGTGGTCAAAGAAGTAGGAGTAGTTTTAGTATAAGAAGTAGTAGTAGTAGTAGTAACAGTAGTTGTAGTAGTAGTAATAGTTATGGGTGCAGATCCCGGGGGGACGGGGTGGACATGACCTGATCTCTCCCTCCACTTTCTCTCAGCCACTGGAACGTGGCCATCGGCTGGCACTCTCACAATAGTCAGTAAACAAATGCCTTTCTGTGAGTAATTTTGATTTAAACTTCCTCAAGAAAAGGAAAGTGTGCCCATAAAAGATTTAAAAACGTAATCAGATTCTGTTTGTCGCCTCAAGTGAAGTAACTTATCCCTAGCCATGATTTGCACGCGTGCAATTAAAAAAAAAATCACAACTGATTGTGTCTCCCCCAAACTTCTTATCAGATCTGCACCCGTGGTAATAGTGGTAGAAGAAGCAGTAGTAGTAGCAGCAGAAAGTGTAATGTCTTTAACAAAAGACAAATAATATTTTGGCAGGTCCAAGAACATAAAAAATAAGTTATTCGACAGATTGTTCCAGCTTGTTATCTGACGCCAAATATTCTCTACACTGTATTTGTGTCTAAAGTGATAAGACACTTAGTTGAACTTTGAATTTGTTGCACATCAGCACTTTGTGGTGATAAATGTAAAAGGTAACCACCAGCATCAAAGCAGGAGGTGCAAAATCTTAAAGTCTACTGATCTGCTTTATTATTCCTCAGATCAACAACTAAACATGTCATTTCTTTATTTGCTTATGACTGTTTACATTTTATGTCCTGTTTTGTCACTCATGTTTCTTATTAGGGTTTCTGCGGAACTTAAAGAATTAAAAAATTCAGTGGTCAATCATATTGTGTTTTTATTGAACAAACACTGATCTGTAGTCATTTACAGATTTTACATATTGAAAATGTGTTTATTTTTCCAGAGTTACACACTGGGTAAGACAGAAGACAATTATTCTTCAGCTGTAGCTGCTCCAGAGCCTCAGAGAAGGAGTGTGATGATGCCTGAGGATGCCAGTAAAAGGAGGACACTGGAACCAGTGGGTATGTTGCTGGAACCAGTGGGTTTGGAGGTGGGACCAGGGGGTTTGGGGGTGGGACCAGGGGGTTTGGGGGTGGGACCAGGGGGTTTGGGGGTTGGACCAGGGGGGTTGGGGGTGGTAACAGGGGCTTTGGAGGTGGGACCAGGGGGTTTGGAGGTGGGACCAGGGGGTTTGGAGGTGGGACCAGGGGGTTTGGAGGTGGGACCAGGGGGTTTGGTGCCGTCTTCACCAGTCTGGTCGCTGTTACACAGGTCCCCCTCACAGCACTTAATGGGACTAACACAAATACTTTTGATCATGCAGGCCTTGACAACTTCACCTGAAATACATGATGGAAAAAACTCAGTTTCAACAACAATAAAAGCAACCAATCATTTAGTACAGCAATATATCCGCTCATATAGATATACAGTCACTCTGAAATACTTAATATTAACTGCGGAAGAACAACTCACCGTTCACTTCAGCGGTGGCACAACGGTCGAAGCTGGGAGGACAATCTATTGGGCCGGTGCAGGATTTGCCTGAACATGAGTGGCATCTCAATCCAAACGCTATACAAAAACAGAATAGTGTCACAACGGGTTTAAGATCCTTCAAATCTAACGCTCATTGTTTTATACATTTTCACAAAGAGAAGGTGAAGAGAAACTTGAAAGAAAATGCAAACAAGTTAACAAATATGAATCTCAAGTTTCTCTAAACAGTATGGGTATTTTGAAAATCAAATACTATGCAAATGGTGCTTTAAATTTTGACAACTGTTTAAAAAAAATCATAATGTCATTATTATATTATAAGCCAATACACATTAATCATAATCGTTACCTGCAGACAGAGTCACAAAGAGGATCAGAGCTCCAAACCACTGCATCATGAACGGGGGAGAAAATCAGACTTTTAATCAGCCGTGTGAGAGGAGAACTGGAGAGAAGATGTGAACTGTTCCTTTCGTAGTCCAACCCCTCAGTCCTCTTTCAAAACCTGACAGTTACATTTCTTCACAAAGCCTCCTCCCAAAGTGAGCACATTATCTCCAAGAAACAGCCATGCGCAGTTGTATGAATAAATACAAGACCAGAAAGTGACTTCAAAATCATCTCCAGGTAAAGGTAAAGTTCCACCTGAGTGTGTGAAATTTGTTCTCCGCATTTGACCCATCCCCTGAGGGAGCAGTGAGCAGCAGCAGTGCCGCACTCGGGAATCATGTGGTGATCTAACCCCCCAATTCCAACCCCTGATGCTGAGTACCAAGCAGGGAGGCAATGGGTCCCATTTTTATAGTCTTTGGTATGACCTGGCCGGGGATCGAACCCACGACCTCCCAGTCTCAGGGCGGACACTCTACCACAAGGCCACTGAGCTGGTAACAGATTACATTTGTTTTGGGTGAAACATCAGAGCGTAAATGTTGTGATTGGTCATTTTAAAGTATTTCATTGATTTCTACAGCAGTAGTAGTAACAGTAGTAGCAGTAGTAGTAGTAGTATACACCGATCAGCCAAAACATTGAAGCCACTGGCGGCTGAAGTGAACAACATTGGTCATCTTGTTACAGTGCAATATTCCACTGGGAAACCTTGGGTCCTGACATTCATGTAAATGCTACCTGATGCGCTCCACCCACTGGAACACCGTTGCAGACCAAGTAAACCCCCTTATGGCAATGGCACTTGTTGATGGCAGTGCCCCCCCCCCCCAGCAGGACAATGCACCATGCCACACCACAAAAACTGCTCACAAATGACCCGAGGAATTTTACAAAGAGCTCAAGGTGTTGACCTGGCCTCCAAATACCCCTGATCCCAATCTGATCATCCTTCTTGGACCAGACTTGGCTCTGACCTGTCAAGGCATGAACACAGGACCTCTGGGGGGTACTCTAAAGTGCCTGGCACCAGGACGTTGGCTTCAGATCTTTTGGGTCCTGTGGGTTGTGAGGTGAGGTAACAGCATGTCCCACAGATGTTTGATCAGACTGGGATCTGGTCAATGCCTTGAGGTCTCTGTCATGTTCCTCGGGCCACTCCTGAGCAGTTTTTGTAGTGTGGCATGGTGCATTGTCCTGCTGGGGGGGGGGGGGCAATGCTACTGGGGAGTGCCGCTGCCATAAGGAGGGGTACCTGGTCTGCACTGGTGTTTAGGTGGGTGGAGCGTGTCCGGTGGCAACCACATGAATGTCAGAACCCAGAGTTTCCAAACAGAGCATTGCATTGTAACAAGATGATCAATGTTGTTCACGTCACCTGTCAGTGGTTTTAATGTTTTGGCTGATCGGTGTATTTCCCCCTGAAATGCAGTGTAGTAGAAGTGTTAAGTTGCCTCAAATTTTAAAATAGTAAAACTACTGCAAAATAGTATTAAAGCACAGAACCTTGAGGGAATGTACTTAGTTACTTCTCTCACTACCAGAAAGACACCTGAGTGTTTTTTTTTTCCAAATTATGCATAAGTGTCAGAATATCTTTCAAATGATACTGATGGGATTTGTATTTCTTCAAGTTGCTTTCTTGCATTCTCGATACCACCACCAGATGGTGCCAACGCCATAAATGTTCAAATCCTACACACAGTGGCTTTGACTGGTAAATTTGACAGGAGCATTCCACTAAATAAATAATGCGGGATTTGTAATTACATCGCTCACATATGTTTTTGTGGCTGACATGTAGGTAAAGGGCCAATAATGGTATTATTTTATTTTAGGAGATTTTTAGTGAAATCCATCTGGGTGTTTATACTGTGACACAACAGAGTTTAAAATACTAAAGACAAGAGTTTCTTAGTTGAATTCCTGATCATGTTAATGGTCTTTTAAATGACAATGAATACATAATTCCTGGATTATCAATCAATCAATCAATCAATCAATTTTATTTATAAAGCCCAATATCACAAATCACAGTTTGCCTCAGAGGGCTTTACAGCATAAGACATCCCTCTGTGCTTGGAACCCTTGCAGCGGATAAGGAAAAACTCCCCCCAAAAAAACCTTTTAATGGGGAAAAGAATTGTAGAAACCTCAGGAACATAAGGAAATTGGTGCTCATCCAGGTTTTTATATCGTTAAGGCATTTTTGAAGTTCGGTTAATTGATCAGTTTCTCCTGGCTTTATCAATAAATACAATTGTGTATCATTTGCATAACAATGGAAATTTACAGTGATCTCTAATGATGTTACCTAAGGGAAGCATATAATAGAGTGAATAGGATTAGTCCAAGCACAGAACCTTGTGGAACTCCAAAACAAACTTTAGTACGTAGAGAGGATTCATCATTAACATGAATGAACTGAAAACAATCACACAAGATAACAAGATAAATAAGATTATGAAGGTAAACTGCCAAAGAAAACACATTTGCTTGCACTTTCTGTGTATGTGCAGTAAAGGATTGTTCTTGTGAGGAAAAACTCAACGTCCATGTTTAATTACCCTGAACAAAATGAGTTGAAAACATGAGCATCGCCAAAACTAAATTTAGAAGTTTTCACATGACCTAAGAGGTGGGAGTAACTCACACATGTGCAAGTCATAACCTTCAAGTCTCAAGCAAGTCCTAAGTCACTGTGGTGAAAATCAAGCAAGTCAAGTCATACTCACAAACTCATACAGGTAATATAACATAAACTGCACCCAGTGTTGGAATGTAACTAAATACATTCACTCAGGTACTGTAAGTACAAATCTTGTCTTTTCATCTGATGTTACCGTCTGCCTCTGCTACACTACATTTATCTGACAGCTTCGGTTACTAGTTACTTTATAGATTTAGGTTTTGCACTCGAAACTAGGAAGCACAAAAGCAAGACAACCCCCAAAAAGGAAGTGGTTTTACATGTGGTGGCCACAGACAGTTGCTCTCTCTTTATCCTTTCTGACTGATTCCTCTCTAGTTCTGTGTTCTGCTAGTGTCCTTGTCACTACTGGTAGCATGAGGCCGTAACTGCAGCCCAATCAGGTTGCACAGGTAGTCCAGCTCCTCCAGGATGGTACATCCATACATGTGGACTCAAGAAGGTTTGCAGTGTCTCCCAGCACAGTCTCAAGAGCATGGAGGAGACACCAGGAGACTGGCTGTTAAATGTGAAGAGCTGGACGGGGCCGTAGAAAGGCATCAACCCAGCAGCAGGACCAGTATCTGCTCCTTTGTGTGAGGAGGAACAGGAGGAGCACTGCCAGAGCCCTACAAAATGACCTCCAGCAGGCTACTGGTGTGCATGTTTCGGACCAAACTGTCACGAACAGACTCCATGAGGGTGGCATGAGGGCCCGACGTCCTCTAATAGAACCTGTGGTCACAGCCTAGCACTGTGCAGCTCGATTAGCATTCACCAGAGAACACCAAAATTGGCAGGTCCACCATTGGTGCCCTGTTCTCTTCACAGATGAGAGCAGGTTCACACTGAGCACACGTGAAAGAGTTAAAGAGTCTGGAGGCGCTGTGGTGAACGCTATGCTGCCTGTAACATCATCCAGCATGAGCAGTTTGGTGGTGGGTCAGTGATGGTCTAGGGAAGCATATCCTTGGAGGGTCGCACAGACCTCCATGTCATAGCCAACGCTACTGACCTAAATCCTGATCTATGGGACGTAATGTATTGGTGCACCTGACGCTGCCAAGTACCACCACAGACTGTCCAGGAGCTCACTGATGCCCTAATCCAGGTCTGGGAGGAGGTCCCCCAGGACATCATCTGCCAACTCATCAGGAGCATGCCCAGACGTTGTAGGGAGTGCATACAGGCACGTGGGGGCAGTACACACTACTGAGTCACATTATGAGTTGATGTGATTAAATTCACAAAGGCTGGGTCGGCCTGCGATTTTACTTTTTTACTTTGATTTTCAGTGTGATTTTGAATCCGGCCCTCAGTGGGTTGATGATTTTGGTCTCCACTGACCGTCTTTTTGTTCTCACCAAGTTATGCAGTGTACATCAGTAACAACTTTCAACTTGACTAATTCGTTCATCAAGATCTGATGTGTGCTTTAAGTGTTCCCTTCATATTTATAAGCAGTGTATATAGTAGTAGACTACAACAGTCACAGGGGGCATTTTTACAGTACTTTTACTTTCATGTTCCTGATTATACTACATATAAGCAATAGATAAGTAATGTTTCAAATGCAGGAATTTGACTTGCAACAGAGTATTTTCATGGGGTGGTATTAGTATTTAAACCCTTTAGTAAAGGGTTAAAATACTTCCACTCCAGCTCCGAACCCTCTGGTCAGGGTGAAAGACTCCACTCACATAACATACCTGCTGCTGTCAGGAACCGGAGGCCAAAAAAGTCACTGAAGAAACTACTTCATGGCGCGTGGATGCGCACGGCAAGCACACATACACACACTCAGATAGTGAACTAATATTTGGACAGCAGGGAAGAACAGTCGTTATGCACTGTGGCAGCACTAAGAGGACAAATGAGAGAGCCTGAGCATACAAAGCCAGCGGCGCATGTATCGGCTATCACAGCGGTGACTGTGTGTGCGTAACGGCCCGTTACTGAATGAGTAATAGGCTAGAAAACCTAACTCCCATGCATCACGCAGATATAAGTGAATTAAACCACAGGAAACGACACGGAGGAGCTCATGATACTGCTGCGCATTCTGCCACTCCTCTGAAGCGAGCTGTGGGCAGTAGGGAGTGGCAGGCAGAGTGGGCACGAACCTCGTCCCGCTGCGGCATGTGCGTCATCATATTCAAAAACCAAAAAAATACTTTTCAATATCTAAAAAAATACAAATATTAAATAAAAAAAATTCAAGGCCTTTCAAGTGATCTGTCTCAAGTCAAAATCTCAAGTCATGAAAAGCAAGTCAAAATCGAGTCTTGCGTCAGTGTTAGTCAAGCAAGTCTCAAGTCCCCATAACCAAAACTAAATTCAGAAGTTTTCACAAGACCGTAACAATATCCCCCATTTTACACCGATTTCTTATAAGAAATCGAAATTCACTATAGTGAATGCATCTTTGTCAAAGCTCCTGTGTGCAAACTAAACTATTTAACCAATATGTACGTTTCACTTGTAAACCACCAGCCTGTTGTTATCTGTAGACTGTCCTCAGATTATTCTGTGAAGACTGTTTCGTTATCAGTGTGCTATATTTGCCACATTGCTGGATTTCCTCATCTTTATTCCACTTCTGAAAAGAAAGTTTTGCCTGATACTGCCTCCAACAAAAGATAACATTTACATTTTTATTTTAGCAGGTCCATGTGCATAAAAAACAAGTTATTTGACAGATTCGTACTTGATATGTTACAGGAAATATTTCTACTTTTTATCATGTCTGAAGTGGTGAGATATGTGACCACTGGCATCAAAGCAGGAAGTGCAAAATGTTAAAGTCTGCTGATCTGCTTCATTAATCCTCAGATCATCAACTAAACATGTGCATTGATTTGCTTATGGTTTTTCATATCTTACTTCCTGTTTTGACACTGATATTTCTGGGGTTTCTGCAGAACTTAAAGAATTAAAAAGTCAAAAGGTAACTGTATTATGTTTTTATTGGACCAGCTTTTATCTGCAGTCATTTGCAGCTTTTACATATTGAAAATGTGTCTACTCTTAACAAGTTACAAACTGGGTAAGACAGAAGACAAATATTCTTCAGCTGGAGCTGCTCCTGAGCCTCAGAGAAAGAGTGTGATGATGCCTGAGGATACCAGCAGGAGGAGGACACTGGAACCAGTGGGTGTGGCGCTGTTACACAAGTCCGTCTCACAGCACTTTATGGGACTAACGCAGAGAGCACTGAGCATGCAGTTCTTAACAACAGCACCTAAATCACAGGAAAGAAGAAAACTCAGTTTCAACCACAATAAAAGCCGCCAGGCATTTCACACAGCAATATATCAGCTCATATAGACAGTCAATAGAAATATTTAATAGCTGTGGAAGAACAATTTACCGTTAGATTCAGCGATGGCACAACGGTCAACGCCTTGAGGACAAGTCATTGGGCCGGTGCAGGATTTGCCTGAACATGAGTGGCATCTCAACCCAAACGCTATACAAAAACAGAATAGTGTCACAAATGGTTAAAGATACTTCAAATCTAACACTCATTGTTTTATACATTTTCACAGAGAGAATGTGAAGAGGAGCGTGAATGAAAACGCAGCAAGTCTTTTTTTTTAAGAAAAACAAAACGGAAAACCGAAATTTTAACGCAATTATATTATAAGCCAAAGTACATAAATCACAAGCTGTTTTACCTGCAGACAGAGTCACAAGGAAGATCAGAGGTCCAAAGAGCTGCATCGTGAGTGTAAATAATACCAGACTTCAAATCAGCCGTGTGAGAAGAGAAGTGGGGAGAAGATGGGAGCTCTTTTGAAGCTCCTCCTTTTATAGTCCGAGCCCTGTGTCCTCTTGTGACCCTCAATTGTATTTCCTCACAGAGCCTACTCCCAACGTGATCACGTTATTCCGCATAAACAGACATGCAGACCATGAACATGAAAGCTGATAAATACTGGTGCTGAATTTCCTGTCCACACACAGTATATGTTTGATGTTTGGTAAAATGTCAGTTTATGCTGAAAAAGATGCAGACACCCAGTAAGCAGGCCCGCCATCGGGTGGGGGTGGGGGGGGTCAAAGGGTAGAATGAACCTGGCCCATGAAGGTCAAGGAGGGGCCCATGAAAGAGTCTATGGACCTAAGGCATTACAAGTTAAGCTCTCTTGTCAGAAAGGGGGCTAAACAATTCCCACCAAAGTTGCACTAAGTTTTGGCGAAGGAAAAAGTAACATTTCCATTGTTCAAAATGGTGTTTTTAAATATGTCTGCATCTTGGAGTCCCCCAACAGTCTTTGAACTCCATAAACTGAGTATGACTTGAAAGTTGAGAATTGACAAGTATATAGCCTACTCTTTACACTATTTCAGTTCTGCACACGATGTTTTTTACTTAATGTTTATTTAGTTTTCATCAACAACAATACGGTGTATACATTTTCCTTTTTTTCCAGCTGTATGTGACATTTGTATAGATTATATTCAGAAATTATCTAAACATAAACATAAAAAGACGACACAACGACAACACAAACAAATATCCACTCCAACATATTAACCCATTAGTTAGAAAAAGCAAAATCTAAATAGAAAAAGGTGAACTTTTTTTGAAGAAATGAAAAATAAAAGTAATAATTGTCCACTCCACATTATAGTCATTAAAGTACAGGTGCAAAATTTATACTACAGACTGACATGTATGTATGTGATATGTGCATAGGGGAAATATAAAAGCAAAAGTCTGGCAGAGCCTGACTGGATGATAAACCTCACTGTACCACTTAAGGCATGACAGGGCTCTCTGTCTAAAGAGTAATTTGTTCTGATAGAGACTTCCTGGATCCATGGATTGTAAGTGGGCTTTCGGCCATCTGATGGTTATACACTTAAAGGCTTATCCCTCACATTCAGACTTTCAGGAATAATACCCAGTAGTGCTACCGTAGGTTATTGTAGTTCTGCACACAATTTGATCAGTGTATGATTAAAGTAGCCTCAAGATGAGGGGCCTACTTTTGAAAATGTTGTCCCTCTGCTTGTATTTCCTAACAGCTGGCCTGCCAGTAAGCAGGAGTCTTCAACATTTTTCAGACCAATGACCTCTTAGCTGAAAGAGAGATGAAGCAGGGACCCTGTGATGGCCACACTTGCAGCCACACAGCTGCATTAAAGTCTGTATCCCAGCTGGCACTCACACTTTGGTTTCTTTTATATTTGTAGTTCATTTTTTCCTCATTTAGCTTATCTTAATTACATCTCACATTACAAACAAATAAATGACAACACATTGGATTTTGTTTCATACATCATACTCATTTTATTTTACAGTTTTGACAGTACATTAGTTTCTATTTGTAGCGCACACATTTGGTTAACTTTTGTACAGTCACTAGTTTCTTTAAGTTGTTCTAATTTTCATTTCTTGAGTTACCAGTGTGGTCTGATCAGCCAGTATATATGTTCCCCATTGTGTCCACTTTGTAAGGTCTGTTGGTGGTGTTAAGGTCACTTTAGTTGAGTTCTGTTTATTTGACCTCTTTTATGGGCCCAGAACTTTAGTTATATATTTTGTCATTTGTACCTTTTTTTTTTTTTTGCTTTTTTTGGGTAAAATAAAAGCCCTCTTTTGAAAACCACCTGAGTCTCCTCTTGTCTGCCAGCTCGGTCCCTTACAGACCCCATACCACATATATGGCATAAAACGGAGATGCATGTCAAACTGGGCCTAAAATAACATGTAGGGTGGCCTAAAGTGCCATGTATAATTTATGGCATTTATACTTAGAGATTTATTCTGGCTTCATATGAGCAGAGATCTCCCTTTGTCACTAGGCTAATTTGTACAATCTAAAATGCTATAGGCTTGTGCTAATAACATTAGCATGTTTTATTTGTTTGAAAAACGTGTTTAGTATAAGACAGTTGTTTTGTCAGTGAACCTTGTGAGTTGTAATGGAGCCAAATTATGTACCTTTGTTAAATGTTGCTGTTGTCCCTGGCTTCATATGAGAAGAGGAAAAGTTTGCTAGCTGCTAGGCTAATTTATACAATGTGAAATGCCATAGGCTTGTGCTAAAAACATTTTCATGTTGTATTTGTGGGGAAAATGTGTCCGGATAAAGACAAGTGTTTGTCTGTGAATGCTGCGAGTTATAGTTATGCTGATTTGTGTACTTGTGTTTGAAATTGTCTCTATTAAGCCATGTTTAATGTGTGTTTAATGTGTGTTTAATGTGTGGATTGCATGTGTTTTTAATCAACTAAACTTTACAGCACTTCGCAGAAACTCCGCCGACAACTAGTGTTTTGGAGGTGTAACTGCAGAGTGACACAGACACACCACTGCACAAGTATAAATGCTCACAACGGCATAGGCCACGTGCATAGGCTATGGCATAGGGTCTGCCGCACGTGTATAAATTCCGCTTAACTCCTAGCTAACTAGTTCACCTCGAATGGACAGGTGCCACACAGTGATTTAGTGTTAGCTTATTAACATGATTAAACAAGAAAAAGCAGTAGAACATCATAACCTGACCTGTGGCACTTTATATATTTTTTACTGTACCATGATTACCAGGATTCTGCTTGGTGCTCTGGTGATTGCCTAATGCCATGCAGCTGTGTGACTGGGAATGGAGGTTATTTCTGCATGTCTCACCCTGCTTTTCTGTCTTTTCACACACTGAGGAAGAAGTGTTGCTGGCTTTTTCTTGTTTATACTGTTGTTCTGTGGCTGAGCACCTCCAGACGTTTTTCTTCTTTTTTGAGAGTGCGTGTTGTCTTTCTTCATTTATTAACATGACTATACAAGGATTCATGGGTAACACTTAGCTTATCATCAATGTTGTGTACCACAATTTTTTTTCCATGAATACAGCAATTGATTTTTGCCTATAAATTGGACTCATGTTAATGTGTTTTTTCAGACACATTTTAATTTTTGGAAAAAAAAAAATAAAATAAAATAAAATAATTAATTAAAACTTAAATCACCAAATGATAATTAACCAACCTCCCTGCACTAACTCTGAGGACCCCCTCATTAAGACTCAGGCAGTCATGCTTTCAAAAGCTCAAGAGGTCAGAAAATTTTATTGTTATTTCAAAATACCAAAAAGTGTCATTGTGGATGTCTAGCAATAAGAAGTTTAAAAATAATATCAAATACCCTAAAATAAAATTTGTACTTTTTTGTTTCCGGATAACAAAACTTCACACAGAGGACACCTGTGTAGAGCCTTGCCTTCAAACCAACAGTCTTTATATTTGGGGACATTTGTTTGCTCATCATTGAAATTCCTGTTACATGCATTGTCTTCGGCGCCATTAAACTATAATGGCAACCGGCTGCGTATCATGCTGACGTTAAAGGATGCCTTTTCTCGTTGGTTTCTGATGCTGCAAGTCACTGCCCAAGCACCAGATTTTGACGACTTCGGAGTGAGACCAGGCTCTTCAGACATATTTTAATTTAAATAATAAAACTTAAATTAAAACTTATACAACCAAACAATAATTCGGCGACCCCAATGCAGTAATTCTAAGGACCCCCTCATGAAGACCCAGGCAGTCAGGGTTTCAAAAGGTCAAGAGGTCAAAAAAATTTAGTTACCTTGAAAAACAAATACAAAAAGTGTAATCCATGATGTCCAGCTATCATAGGTCTTAAAAAATTGTCAAATTACCTAAATTTGAGCATAGCATTAGTTCAGGCAGGACATGTCAAGCTCAGCTTGCATCCCAGCTCCATCAGCTGATCTCAAACAGCCAATCAACTGATGGATCAGCTGATTGATAGAGGGGAGTCAGCTGATAGATCACATGATTCCTTTCTATGCAACCAATTGAGGAATCTCATTCAGGGCGCCCTATTTAAACTGCTCTGGCCTGCCTACTGTTGCTGCTTCCTCTGCAGGATGCTTTGCAACCCGCCTCCACCCCAGCTCGTCCTTTTCATGCTGTATCTGACTTATCAGTGTCATTTGTGTTTGTCATTGATGCTGGTTTGGTTCTGTTCCCGGGGGGTCTTTGTTGCTGCTCTTTCTGCCTTAGGCTTACCATGTAGGCGCATGGAAGGGCGGAGAGGTGTGCTCTCTCCGCCCTTCCACATAGCTGCCTGGAAGAGGCTTTCTGCATAGGCCTAGGAAAGGCAGAGGGGCCCTAGAACAGAGCCATACCGTCAAATATAATACTGCAAATGGAAAAAGTTTTCTTTGACAAAAGTGTTCCTGACTGAAATAGGATTTGTACTATTCTTGTTTCTAGATAACAAAACTTCACACAGGGGACACCCGTATAGAGCTTTACCTTTAAACCAACAGTCTTCATATTCAGGGGCATTTGTTTGCTCATCATTGAAATACCTGACCACTGTTACTGTACTGTACTTACTTGTCATGTCCCTCATGATAACTTTGGTCATCCCCTGGCTGACTTATTTTTAAACTGAGTGAAATACTTTGCCAAATATGGAATGGATTACCATGAAAACTGGTTCAGATATTCGTGGTCCTCAAAAGATTAATCTTTATGACTAGATTCTCTGACTTTTCCTGCAGTGTCAACCCAAGTTTTCCCCTCTCCATTTGTGTTGAGGTGCTCCTCTCGCGCAGTGTAGTCCAGAGTAAACATGTGCTAGTGAATGCAACCCCCAGTGTGCCTCCCTCCTCAGCCACTCCCCTAATTAGCACCCGATTACATAAGATCCTGTTGGCAGTGAAAAGCATTCTTTTGGCTCCTGTCCTCCCTGGTGTGGCTTGTTGTTTCTAGCAGGTATGTACTTAAACTTCACTTGGAAAAGTCAACTCTTTTCCTCCTGCACACTTA